GGAAGGGGAAAGGATCTGGCTACAAGGAGAGTCGAAGGAGGCGGTACTTAAGCTTCCTAAAGATAATGCTGAGAAGGAAGGACTAAGCACCAAAATCTGGAAGCATGCCTGTGGGCTGAAGATGAGTGGAACTCAGCCTTACAGACAAACTTCGGTAGCAATCAGGAAGAATCTGAAGTTATCTTCCAAGTATTATGGGCCATATAAGGTCCTTCAAAAAGTTGGAAATGCAGCCTACAAACTAGAGTTACCGGCTGGCTCTGCGATACATCCTACCTTCCATGTTTCCTTGCTCAAACCATCTGCAAAGAATCATGTTATAACTCAGGAGTTACCTTTGACTACGGCTGAGGGACAAATCAAGATTGCACCAGAAAGTGTACTGGCCACTCGTGAAATCATAAGAAAAAAACAGAAGATGACTCAAGTGCTGATCAAGTGGATGAACCTAGGCACTGAAGACTCAACTTGGGAGGATGTCACGGTGATACAATCACAGTTTCCAAATTTCCAGCTCAATCCTAGTGACTAGGATTCTTAAGGGGAAGGTATTGTAATGACCCTAGATATTATAAATACTTTTAGCAGAAATGTATCTGCTATGCTTTCCTTATTAGGAAGTTAGTTAGCGATCCAGAAGTTAGTTACTCTGTTAGACATCCAAAAATAGCATGCTTGCATGCATGCTCATTCAGTTAGGAGGTTAGAACGCAGAAGGATCTAGAGGAAGAAGCTTGTATAAATAAGCCTAAAAGAGGACGGATGGGGCACGCTATCAAACAGAACGAGTTCAGTTTTCTCAATCCCTTTCAATATACCTTCCCTCTCTGTTTCTTCCCTTCCCAATTCTCTCGGTCACTTTTCCCTACCTCCAGTTAACTCTGATCAAAATCAGTGATATCATTACACCATGTTTTTCACATTCCTCGATAGTCCCCTGAGTTTAGCCAGCCGCATTAATCAGTTGCACATTTCACACCTTGCTGCGTTATGCTTTAAATGTTCATCATCAACAAAAAACAATGAAACTAAAATAGAACAAAACAAAATCAATAGAATAAACCAAAAATTAAAGGGTAAGTCCATGCAGTACTCTTCAAGCTTATGCTTTCTTCCCACTAGTGCACATTTGTTGTTCAATTAATATGGAATCCATCTCTTGCTAGGGATCATGTTAAACTTCTTTCAATCGTTTATGTTCTTACTGTCATGGAAAACTTATTTCATAATACGAGCAGCCATAGAACTTCTTTATTGGGTTTTCGACAAGCCATGAATCTTCATATGATTCTATGCTGCACCAACATTTTTTAGTGGCCACGGCGAATCAGCCCATCTCTCTCAGTTGATCTTCCTCAATTGAGCCCCAACATGGACCCTAATTATTTTGAATTGGGTTAGGTTAAATATTTCTTTTTTGCGAGGGGAATTGGTAAAAATTAAGAGTTAATGGTTTTGTCGCATGAGTTTCTAATACTAATTAAGAGCCAGAAGTGTGTTTAGAAACCAAAATGGTCCATTTTTTTTTCATTTTGTTCCCAAAACGAAAAGAATACAGTTAACATTGGAATGAAATCATTTGTTCTATTTTGAATTTGTGAGGGACGAAAATGCTTTAGGTGAAGATCCAACAAGGTACAACCTTGAAGTGTGAAACACTGTTTATGGGATCTTTGATAGGTTGCAATTTTACTATTTATTTTATTATTAATTTATTCTATTACCTGTCTTGATGTGGATTAATTGCTGGATTCTACTCACTTTTCGTAATTTGCATTTATTTCAGGGAGTGGATCAAAAATATCACAATCACTGCTACTTTGACCGTCATCGGGAAAGAAATAAAATAGAAGGCTTGTAAGGACATTTTTGGAAAAAGGGACACAAGTCCTTTTCGGTCATTTGACCGACATCTTCTTTTCCCTGAAAGCCGCCGCACAGTGCAAGGAGGAGACTATCAGATACAAAATGGAAGATTGCAGCGGATGAGAGGATCTCATTAGTTTTGAGCTTTTCGTCCTTTAGCTTAGCCTCACTTTTGACTTTTCTTCTTAGCCTTTTGTAGGCATTCTCCACGGTTGTGAGGAGAAACAATGAGATTACTGTGGGGTAAATAAGTCCCTTACAGAACTTCAAAAGTTACCGATTTTTAAAATTACTGCGGGGATTAAATTTATTTACATAAATTTCTTACTTCTGTAAGAAAATGTCAGAAAGAGAAGAAACAATGAGAAGCAATAGCTTAGCTTTTAATTTTCTCCTCTTTCAGTTTAGTCTTGCTTTTGACTTTTTCTGAGGAGAATCCCTTTTCGGTTCTTTTGCTTCTTAAACATGCCTGTAGACCGAGTGGTCCAAAATCTCCCACCTCATCACTAAACCCGAAGAGTTAAAGAAACCAGAGGTCTGTCCAAAATCTGTTTTGTTTTGCTAAACGTTAAAAGAGCTAAAGAGCTCTGTCGCTTTTTTCTACAATCAACAAATCCAACGGTGTATTTAGGTAGAAAACGGAATCCATCAATCAAATCCGCAGGTTAATAGTCTTTTTTCAAATTATCCGAAGAAGCTTCTGGACCACATCCTTCTGGTTGTTTTGGCCTACCCATGTGATGATATTCGTTCATGATTATGTTGTTTTGAAAGCAGAATTTGACTTGTGGGTTCATCAAAAAAATCTTTTTTTTTTTTTAAGTATTAGGGTTGTAAGAGAAGAGGGATATGGATTTTAAGGTATAGTAGTAGGCAAATACTTGTCTGGGAACTGCCTTCATTTTTTTCTCGGATAATTAGCTTTCCTGGTTTCCGTTTTTTTTTCCTCAATTTCAACTTGATTTGGCTCCCCTTGTCTCTCTCTCTTTGGAAGTAGAAGGGGAAGAGGGAACCCAACAACTGGGATGTTTAGCATCAGGGAGAAAGAAGCAAAAAAGAGGAAGGCGGAGTGTTTAATTAAGAACTTCTTGATGGAGAGCTGCTTGCTTGTTAGAGTTGTATAAAATGTGGAGGAGGTCAAAGTAGAGACCAAAAAAGTTCCGGCACAATGTTTAGGGCCGGGATTCGGGTTTCATTCTTTTTATTTTTTATTTTTATCTTTTTACCTTCTCTTTTATTTCTAAAAAAGAAATGAGATGTTCCCAAAGATACGAATTTCTGAGAATTTATTCCAATTTTAACTCAAATCACGGTAAAGTTAGGAGAGTTAGGAGCCTGGTGTCTGAATATTTAATTCTTAGCAGTGACGTGATAATTTTTTGAGATCGTAGATCAGGTCTACCCGAATTTTTACCGTGAAACATATGTTAACAACAAGCCACGTCATGTCACTAGGCCTTATGGACAAAATTATCAACATACCCAAAAAAAAAAAACCCTACTCCTTGAGTGGCTCATATCCATGCAAAACATTTTCAAAAGAGCAAATTTTTTTTTTTTTGATCGACACAGGGGTGTCTGAATCAATTCTTATGGGGCCCGACTAATTCCCTATGATCCGAACATGACGCTCCAATCCGACCAAGACACGATAAGTGCACAGGCATCCCCACAGTGCAGTTTCAAAAGAGCAATCAAATGATGAAAACCTGACCTTTAGATTTTTGCACAAACAACATCAATGGGATTAACATGTTGTGTAGGACGGACAATTAATTTTATCGTACCTCGAAATTTGCAACAAAGTCCGCAACACTACTCTTGATTGAATTTCTTGCAAAAAAGACACATAATCAAAATCCCTCGTTCAATGTACATGGCCAATTAATTTGAACCACAAAATTGTACACCTGTCGTTCTCAATTACTAGTAATTGTGTCGAAACATGTTTTTCATCAGGTACTTGATGTTTTCAGTTAACATCTTGGGTTTCTGAGGTGCCAAATTAAAGACTCCCAATTATCTTTGAGGCTCAGCTTTTTTCAATCTCGTGATGTTTGTGGAAGTCACTTTCAGGTTTTTTTGATTGGTCGTTACGAGGATCATTAATATGACCTTCCAATTAAATTTCTCCATTGGAGTCTTCAAAGGATGTGAAATGACGAGCTGGAATGGAAATACTAGTAATTATGTGGTAACAATCCAATTATTGAAGAAATGTAAATTACAAACCAAAGATAGTTCAAGGTTGCATTTTGTATTTAACCTAAAATATTTGTGATTGAGATTTATCCATAACCCTAATCTGAGTTATTGACTAGAGGTATAATCCAATCAAGTCGAGTTCAAGTAGTACACTACTCGAGCTCGACTCAAGTTAAAAAAAACTTGAGGTCAAGCTCTCGATTTTGTTTTGTCTTACTTCTACTTAAGATCGAGATCGATCAAATTGAGTCCAATTTAGTCTATATAATATAAAGGGAAAATCATCAAAAACGTCCCTCATTTTACAAAATGTGAGGGACGTTTTGGACGATTTTCCCTAATATAAATTTATATTTTATATAATTTTATTCAAGTGATGAGATAGGCATTTCACATTAATAAATCAAAAAGCATATGTATGTAAAGTTCAATTGAGTTCAATTAAATTCGATGAGCTTTCAACATCTAATAGTAGGCTCAAATTCGAGCTTGTCAAGCAGCTCAAATTGCTCGAACTACTGCTCAATCTCCATCAACATGAGTTTAAACTTGAGTTTTAACCGAGTAAACTAACAAACTATTCGATTGAACTTGGCTTAGAGACTGAATTTATTTTAGTAAAACTATTGGACTTTTTCCTCAATTTTTTTTCCTTATCGGAGAATTTGGCTGTCTTGTCTTTTTGCTATTCCATAGCTACACGTTTGTTTGGTCTTTTTACCACATTTTTTTTCCTTTTTCTTTTTTGCGACTCGATTAATTCCTATGGACTATATGTTGACTGAGTCAGGATTGGGAGTTAGGGATTAAGGGTTGGACCGATAGCAAAATAACTGAATGATATAAAAAGTTAGTAAAATTAGTATAGATACCACATCTGGTACCTGATGTAACTGAGCAATCTTGCTTCTTGTACAGGCTTACTGTTCTATCAATGGACAATTTATCTTTTGCTTAATAAAAAAAAAGATAGTAAATATAAAACAACTAAATAATATTGAAAACAACAAGAAATAAGACCAAAAAAATCTAAAAATAGCAATAGAGAAAAACAAACCGGCTTTTTTCTTCCCTTTTTCATATCAAGATTGGTTCCAACTTTGATTTCAATGACTTTCTCGTGATTTTGTTTTACTCTCCTGCAAATGTTAAAACCAGTGTGTTAGGATAGGAGATCATTTGAAATAATTTGTTTGAAAAAATAGTATAATATTTTTTTATGATGTGATGTACAAAAGAAAAAAGATAATTGAAAAGATAAAAATATAGTTGAAAACGTATTTACGATGCAATCAAATAATCTTGTGCAAATAAGAAGCTATCCAAACACACTCGCTAACCTTTTACAATCATTGTCGTGCTCCAAATTCTTTTCAAGCATCGAAACAAATGGAAAGCTTTGAATTTCCAGGCTTGAATATCCATACTTTGATTCTTCGTAATGGCCTATTATCTATCCCTGAACCAAGCTAAGTACCAACGCTCGAACTTGTCATTCTTGCTCAGAAGAAGTCCGAAGAATTAAGATGGATCCTGATTGTGGTAACAATTGCTGAATCAGAATTTCTTTGCCCAAGACGGATTTGGCGGCAGTACTAAACCGCACTTGATTGTTTCAACTCGTACCTAAAAATTTCAAAAAGAGTGAATATACTTGCATGACTGTCGTGATTACTTCTTCATATGATCATAAGGGTGAAATCCAAGTCATGGGTAATCGTCCCTGTAGTGTTACTCTTGACTGAGTGAACAAGACTCCGACGAAACATTATTGTCAAAATCATCGTTGTTCAATGTGCATGGCAAATTCTTGTGAACCACACATTTGTTTTTGTTTTTGTTTTTTTTTTTTTTGGGAGGAGTCTGAACCACACAGTTGGATCTTTGTCGTTCATCCCCCTTCGAGCAAACTTTACGCTTGATACATCAAAAACATTCATCACTTGTATCTGTAACACTCGATATGGGATGGACCATTCATCACTTGTCTATTCTTGTAAGGCAAATAATGTAATTCATGTTATTATGTTCAAAACTTTTTTTCGTATCAATGTGTGGTTCAAAACGCGCATTACGACGTATCCATTGGCAATTGTGGCTGGTATGCATGCGGAGAAGGAGAATCGTTTCTGTCTATTAGTTGAATTAGTATTTAGCTTGGTGTATGTAACCTGGGTTGGGAAGGTTTAAAAGTAGATGTAATGACTTTATTTTGATTTCTTGTTGAATAAATGACTCCATTAATTCTTCAACTTTTAACAACATCTTATTTGGTCCTTCAACTTTTTAAAATATCTATTATATCCCAACTGATATATTTTAGCTCTAAAAGTATTCGTTTCGATTCAACTCGTTAAAAGTTCCATCCACCCCCAAAAAAACACCCTTGGAAAATAAAAAAGAAAAAAAGGATTAATTCCACTCTGCACCTTTTAACTATATTTGAATTGCCACCTTGATCCTTAAATTTAAAAATATGATACTTTAGTCCGTAAGTATTTCACATTAGTCCCTAAAACATAAAATTCGTCTCGCTCTAGTTCTTAGCTATAGTGCAAAATCTATTTCACTTTAATTCTTAAAGCATAAAATTTATTTCATTTAAGTATAAAATTTTTTCACTTCTATCAATTTCACTTAAGTATGGTGAATTTTATTTTTTAAGGACTAAAGGATCCCATTTTAAAGTTTAGAAATTAAAAATTCAAGGCTGCAAAGTGAAATTTACCCAAAAACATGCTTAGTTACATTGCTTTTGCGGTGGCTAATTAAGAAAATTATTTATAGTGAATTGTGTCAAAACGGTTGCAGAATTTGGTACTACATAACACAGTTTCATTTTAAAAGCTTGTGTCTGTTGCTGCACAGCCTTGGTGCGGCAACAGACACAAGTTTTTTTTTTTTTTTTTTTTTGTAACACCCACTCTGTGTCCCATATCTTGGTTTAGCAACAAACTCCTTTTTAAAAAAAAAAAAAAAATTTGCAACTTCGGTCTCGAATTGGGGGACTTTGTAGCTTAAAAAATAAAATAAAATAAAATAAAAAAGAAAATCTCCTTGGTTGCCGCACATTAACCATATATGTAGAGCAAGGGGAAAAATTCCATCATTTGAGGGATGATTTTATTTTTTACTATTATTTAAAGAAATTTGCCTACTAATTTTCTGCACTTAAGTTTCTATCCAAGCTTTTTAAATTAAGTTAATTACATTATTATACAGAAATGGACGATAAAATTGGATACAATATACAAGTTTTGTTGCTGCATCTCTTTCAAAATATAAGCGATTATCTTTTTCATTGCATATTTTCACATTATTTAATTATTTTATAATTTGCCCATCTATCACATGGTACTTTTTTCCCACCGATCAAACTCCTTGATCCTTGACCCCTAACGATTGAACCACCGTCCAAGTCGACTTTTAGATCATAGCCTCCAGTGATCAAGTCGACTTTTATTTTCTCTTTTTTGGTTTTTGTTCTTTTCATTTTGGCCATTCTTGTGCCCATACAGTATCTAAGGATTAATTACATTAGCTTTCGTTTCCCACATTTTAACTACATGAGATTTGAATCCTAAATCTAACAACGACACAAATTTTAAAAACTCTTCTCTGATCATTGGACCAATCCAGTGACTTGGTTAATTACATTAGCTTATCAGACCACTCATAGATAACCGGTCAAAGGTGTAACAGCCGCCGTACCGATAGCAATAAATTGCTCCATCATATGGAAATAAAACTTCGGACGCCTCAAATTGGTCATAATTAACTTTTGCATATTGGTCTGGATTCGTTGGCCGTGAATCTGAATAGTTTGAAGGGAATAATTTGTTACGTTAGAAGTTGTAAAGGATTACAATTGGTTTTAGATTATTGGCGTGCCGGTGACTGGATGTAGTAGGTCTGTTTTTTTTTTTTTCAATTAATCTGTATGACGCATGGAAAAAACGAATTCCAATGGGGCTTTAAAGAAAGGGGGCGGTGTAAGTCATGTATTCTTACGTTTGAAGTTTTAAAGGATTATAATTGGTTGGCATGCCATACTTTTTGCGATAACATAGTATAATTTCATTAAAATCTGTACACTAATGACAGAAGTTACATCATCAAACAACATACAGAGATATCAAAAAGATCGGAAGAATGGTTAAAAAAATACACTATATAATGCTCCAAAAGTAAGAAAAAATAATTATAACTCCACGAACATCTATGCATCCTTTCATTTGACAAATTTGTTGATTAACTACTAGATCTGCCGAATAGATTCAAAAAATTTCAAATCTGATAATCAAAACTTGAAAAAACTCATATCTAACAAAAGAAAAATGAGAAAACTGCCTAAAACTCTGACTAAGCAATCCTAAAAGAGAAGAAACTCTCACTAGAAAAACTCTGAGAGAGACTTTATCAGATCTAGTAAATCTATTGTTTTCTCGATTGATTTTTTTTTTTTTTTAGTTGCATGGACGCTTTGAATTTCTATGGTGCTTTAAAGAATGGGACTAAGTGAATTAATTCATGTTTTGTGTTTTCAATTGTCGTGGGTCACATGATAGGACCAAAAGTTTAAATAAAATTACATGCAAAGTCAATCCTAAACTCGATGATTATCAGTTAGTACAATTAAAATGTTGTTTATTAATTTTGATTGATCAAAGTTCACAATTACAGAGACCCCAAACTTGATGGATTATGAACTGAAACACAAACTTAAGGCACCATTCAAGAATAATGATCGATTGGGGACCCAAGTGTATCTTTTTTCATGGGTTCAGTTTTTAAAGAATACTGTACATGACAATGCATCTTCTGTGCCTGGTTTCACTTAGTCTCATAACCTGCTCGACCTTTTGATCGTTAGAGGTGTGCTTTTCTTGATCTGGATCAGGCAAAACGGCAAACTATTCGGCATACGGGAGTGTCTTAAACTCTTCTGACGCAAATTTGATGTAAATTTTAAAGATTGGTTTCTTGCCTATTTACTGAAGGTAACAGGGTATTAAGCAAACTTTAGGTCTCATTGAAATGATTCATATATCGTAATAAATGGTATCATCAGAGCGATAATTATCATAATTTACGAACATCATTTAGGGTTAATTTCAATAAATCCTTTCAAAAAATGTCTTTTTCTCACATTGCCCACATCAATGTCTATTACATCAATTCACCCCCTCCTCCCCAATGTTGTTGCAAATTTCTCTATTAGGTATGCTAAGGTCGGACAACCCAATTTCCGGTTAAATTTTGTCATGTTCAACGCACAATTTTGTAAGTTTGCATCCCAAATACACTTAAAAAAAAAAAAAAAAAGATCCCAAAAACTTTCAGTCCCCCGCTGCTATAAACTACTAAAGGCCAGGCCTAGTAAGGCATACAAGTCTAAATATTCTTTAGGCACATCTGGTTCCACCTAACTCCCAACGGAGGTTAGTTCTCACTTTTACTTATTCTACTAGGGGAAGCCGGGGCAGGATCGAGTTTTAATTTGGGTGATGAAATATTTATTCAAAAAAATGTATAAAAAGACAGTAGAATTAGAATTGCATGATAATAGTTTAATTGAATCAATTGAAGTGCATGAAATTATAAGTAAATTGATCAAATCAACAAACTTATAAAGGAAAACAAATTTATAAACAAAAAAAAATAGGATTGTAGCAGATAATCGCACCATACCATTATAAACAATAACTATAACAAAGATATTATACCGTTGTTACTATACCATTATAGTACAATCATGGTCATATCTAATCAACAAGTAACACGTATCAACTATAAGGTCAGATTTAGATTTTACCTTGATCAAGAAATTGCAATCAATGGACAACCTTTGCTCACAGTTTAAGCACCTACAACCACGAACATCAGATTTTGGAAATATAGTTAGAAAATGTAAGGTTCCTATGATATTCATATTTATGCATCATGTATTCCATAATGAAATTTTCATATTCATACAAAAGCTATTGAGAAAATATTAAAGTAAGAAACTCACAATTTTTTTGTATCAACTAAACATCCAAAATTGTAAAAAGAGAGAAAGCAAATGAGCATACCTATCCAAATAGTCACGACAAAATATGGAGGACAAGCACTTCAAGCAACATTCTTCAATGATAAAAGCCTCCATTATTGTTAGGAAGTTGAAGAACACTACAATCATACTTGTAAGGATTGGAAATATGAACCAAAACCAATCAAATTCATTATTAAGAGATTCCTAAATCAATCATCTTTAGCATTAAGACTCTCTATTATTGTAGCTATAAAAATTGCCCAGCAATTATAGAGGAAGATGAAAAGTACTACAATTACACTTATAAGTGGTTTAAACACCACTTAAAAGCGTGATAATCACATGGAATACAAAACAATTGCATACGGGATAGAATACAATAGTCAAACCCTACTCAACTATTTATTACAATGTTATACATTTGGCTTAATAACTTGCATTAATTTGACTTTTTTTCCCTGCCTAAATATCTCCAAAGATGGCAGGTGAAAATTTCCCAACAATCACCTACAAGCTCCTATATATATATACTAGGAGGAAAAGCCCACGCGACGCGTGGGAGTTTAGTGCTTATAATTAAAGATAGTTAATAATTATTATTTGGTATTTTGTAGTATAAGAATTGAAGTATGACAATTTTAATATATGATATTAAATAGAAAAATCATAAGTTACATATTGAGTTAAAAAGTATACTAATATGCAATGAAACAAAATTATAA